GGGTTTGGAACCGGTTGCGAATGCTCGGCGAAACTAATGTCTGCTGAAGAGAATTCGGCGAACTATTCATATATTGATTCATGAGTGCGTCGGCGCTTACAGCCGAGTCTTTTGATGTTTTATAATGCTGTCGGGAGGCGATATTTGTCTTAAATCGCTAGAAACAGTCGGTCTCTTTGCAGCCGTACTGGTCCTCCCGGTGTCCGACAAGCAGGTGTTTGTTGAGCGCTGTGTATGTCTTCAGCGACTTTCGGCACTCACTGTCCGGACATATGAACGAAGCGGTGATCGTGTCGTAACAGATGGCCTCCAGTGCCTGGCGCTCGCGTTTCCAGTGGACCGATGGCTCCGTCGCGTGCTCTCTGACGTGCGCTCTCAGAGAATCGCCCGACAGACACGTATTACCGCAACCGTTTGCCGGACACTCCAATGGTTCCGCATCTTCGTCTCTATTTATCTGGTGCTGTTCCGTAGCCGTAGAAGTGGTTAATGGCTTATCGATGTCTCGTTGATCGCAATCCGAGTTTTTGGTCGTGGCGTCCGTCGCGTTGGCCGTCGTGTCTTCGCATGAGATGACGATCTCTTCGGCGGCTACAGTAATGTCGGGCTTAACTTCCGGATGACACTCGCATTTGTGGTTTTGCAAAGAATCGTTTGATTCACATTTGAATTCACAGCCATTGATATCGCATTGCAGTTCATTGTCCATCGAAACGAGTCTTAATTGTGGTTCCAAATCATTGGTTCCCGAGGATTGAGCGGCCGTTTGGTCACCAGACTTGTTCACGTAATAAACCACTTTCTGGTCGATTGATTCGCCGCTTTGGTCCGTGAATACAATATTTCCATCCTTTAAGACAATGGTTTTCTTCACCACTTTTATTACCACCGGATTGTCTGTCGTTTGAGTGACCACTTCTTTAGGTATCTGTTCGCTCATTGTTTGTTCCAAATGTTGTCCATTTGGTGGATCAGTTGGTACGGTACAAAATACATCAGTATTGAGTTCATTATCTGTTGAATCTATCTTTTCATCCAATGGTTTATGGTTAGACCAGACGGACAGTGTCTTAACGATCGGTGTTACCGACCACTGGCCCGACAGCGATGAAGAAGATGTCTGACATGTGTTGTTCATCAGAGCCACAGCCATCGAGTTATTCGTCGCGTTATTATTGGTTGCATTCAATAGAGAGGAGGCGAAAGAGGTTGTAGTCAGTGTTGTCGGCGCTCCGAACACGTTGTTATTCTCAAGCAATTTCTTGGAATGAATGGTAAATCCGAGGATCGGTGTCTGTTCTTTCATAGGCCGACCCAAAGCAGACCTAATTTGACACGTGTTGGCATTTGTCTGCAATACAGATCTGCTGACCGTTGGACGCGATTTTTTCGACAATTTATTACCAGAATTAATGACATTTTCTTTATTTGCATTATTTAACAGTTTATGATTAAGTTTATACTTTAATTCATTAATTGAAATCATTATTAGATATTTTATAACATAATATATTTGGTAAAACAATTGTTTACATTATGATAAAAAACAAAACACAAACTAAAACATTCAACACAATTATAAAGTTTCTTACAGTTCATAGAGTTTACACTATATGTGAGAAACTCTTATTTATATACTGAGAGTTAACTGTACTTCAAAATAATGCGTGTAATGCAGGCAATGTCTGAGTGCGTTCATTTGTGTTCTGGGTATATATATTTATACAATTTGTGATTTATTATCAGAATGAAGAATGTGGTTTATAAATAATAAATTTTTAAATGTCTTGATATCATTAAATTTATTGATAAAATACTAAAAACCGGTATAAAATAGTAATAAAATTACACACATCAACACTAATAAAATGATTAATAATTCATAACTATATATTATAATGAAAGAAATTGATTGATTAATAATTATGAAATTAACTAAATAATTATACATAGATTTATTTTCAACATTGCATTCGGAAATATTTATATTGTAATAATATTGCACACACAAATATAAGTTATTACAATTTTTAACCACAATTCAACTATGAATAATGTGGTTTATATTTGATAAATATATTGATAAAATATATAAACAAATTATAACATATCATAAGACAAGAAAATTACATAAATGTAATGATTTTTAAGGGAAATGTTTAAACCTGTTATTATAAAAAATGATATTATTTAATACATGTACTTATTTTTATATATATTGATTGTTAAAAATTTAATATTGAGTTTGAACTACAAAATGATGGTACAATAACCCATGCCATTTAAAAAAAAATTAGTTTTCATCACAATTCAAATATGAATAATATTATTTATTAAATTGTTTTATCTGTTACTTTTTCTCTGCTCAACCTTGATTTATGGGATTTAACATGAATTTTAAGCTTAAACTTTTAGCTAAACTTTAATAGAGGATTGCTCTAATAGGATAGCATGGGAGCACTTTGTCTATAATAAGAATGTGCTCTATCTCTTTATAATCTGACGTGGTTTTTGTGTTACCTTGATATTGTGTAACCTAATATTTATTATAATCGTTACATTTATTATAGTCATCATGCGACCTTTTGTTATATTATGTTTAAAATAAATAAATAACATTTATAACATTTTAATTAAATAACTTACTCCTTATATTAATGTACACTATATATGAGTAACACATAAATAGAGTATAAATTACACAGAAATAGGCTCTCCTGGGCTCTCGTTAAACTTTTCTAGAGCACATACTTAGTCTATAATAAATGCAATTACAAAGTTTTATATAAGATTATCGTTTGAGCTTATTTTGTTTTTTAACATGTATTATGGTAAATTTATGTCAATGTTGTTGAACTCATATTAAATCTTTATATAAACTAAACTACTCTGTGACCTTATTATGGTAACATTATCCATAGGCTTACCATTGTCCATTGACTTAGCATTACCTATATTGTTCCTATGTCATAGACCTAGCATTATCCATGTTAACCTTATGTCATAAACTTAAGCTGTGATCCCATAGAAAAACATGTTAAAGCCTCCTCTTTTATGTATATATCATAATATAACCAAAATAATAATAATGTAATGCGCTGTTGCGGTTGTGAACAATAATCAAATAAAAATTCAGTGTTCAATAATTTAATAAACTATAAATTTAATTTGCAAAACAATTAATTCAACCAGAATGTTTAAATATATATAAAGCAATTTTTTTACAATTTTTTATTTCAACTAAAATTAACTAATTTAATATTATTATAAATAATAAATTAATTCAGTGATTTCTACAAATATTAAAATTAATAAAATGTTTATGAACTTTATAAGGCGTATTATATTTAACATCAATCGTCGAGTTTATAGTCAACACATCCTTCGCACTGGCAATTTATAGGTCCTGAACCACAATAACCCCATCTATTACAACAATGTGCGAGCGGGTCGTCTGGATTGCATGTTGAGATTTGACCGTTTCTTTTTGGTGCCTTTGGGCCGCACCGGCCTATCCTTTTTGGGACCACAGAATACACATAATCGGGTGTTTGTCGGAAATTAACGCATCCCTCGCATAGACAATGAGCATTACTTGAACCGCACAACCCATACGCCGAACAACAATAGCGTTTATCGTCGTCCGGATTGCACGTCGCGTGCGTCCCATTAGTGACGGGAGCCTTTGGACCACATACGGGATTCCCATCGTTAGTAAGCATATTGTTTGTCAGCCATCGGACCGGGTTTGTCGGCTTCACTGGCCCCCAATATAACTTCATTGGGTTGCTCTTATAATCTACACAACCATTGCAATTGCAAAACAGCGGCCCCGATCCGCAGCTACCATTTTGCCCGCAACAGCTCATGCTCTCGCTATTGGGGTTACAATGAGAATACCAGCCATTGATTAACGGCGCTGACAGACCACACAAGCCTACATTTACGCCGTCCCCTGGTGCCCACCATCTTTTCGGCCCATAATACAAGCATTTATAATCAATATCAGGTTTTATATGTTTACCGTCACGACAACGTGTTGTATAGTTGTTGACAATAGTATTGAATAACTCTTCGGTATTGTCGTCATTATCCATAATCCACATTGATAGGCCTCCCAATTGATAATCGACAGCGTATTTTATTTTTTGATTTACGGATAAAGGGTTTTCCAACATGGAAAAATTGCCGTAAAACGGGACAGTCATTACAAGTTTGTCCGCACGTGAGTTCAATCCACAATAATATCTCTCTAATGCTGAATGAAAGTTGTTCTCGGTCGTGTTTGGAGAATCTATTGGCACCGAGTTGTATTGATATATGTTAAAATACATCGTAAATTCATTTATCAATTTCAAAACTTACTATATTCATCGGTAAATACGTTGACCCAATCAATTAGTGGTTCACTTAATGCCAAATAGTAGAAATCATCTCCTGTCCATTGACCTGCCGTTACTGTTATTGATAATAACGTTCTGTCTTTATTGATATTTTGTCGGTCGTATTCGTCAAAGTGATCACGAATTTGATTCAAAAAAGTGACAAAATTTTGCCGATCGCGATTTTGTCCTCCCGTGCGACTGCTGGTCGACACAAATTTCCAATCAATTTCAATGCCATCTAATTCCCAATATTCTATCGCTTTTATCATATTATTGATTAAATTTTTTGTTTTCTTGGCCGAAGACATTACTGACGAGAAGTATTGTGATTGATTCCAACCGCCGATTGAAATCATTATTTTAAGTTTATGGCCTGTAAACTCATTAAGTTTACCCTTTGTTGAATGCATTTGTTCAAGTATTTCTGAATCTATTATTATATTGTCATCACCCGTTTCATTGCTATTTAATAACAAGTTTCCCAAAGAATTGATATCAATCGTGGCCAAAATGACATGCGTTAGTTGTCGACCTCTCGTTAAAGTTAGACTTTTGGCACCAAATTCCGCCAAATATACAATAATTTTTTTGTTTTCGTTACAATTTATTTGATCTTTAATAGTACCATAGGCTATTTCTATATTTAAAAAAGCTATATTTATAATAATTCATAATAATTTATAAAGAAATATTTATGTTTTGTATAAGAATTCTATACAACTTATTATGTAATTTATTATGTAAACAAAGTTTAAAGCAATGTTTTGTCTGATACTACTGTTAAGTCCATAGCGATTTTTAATATGTCTATATTATAGTTAGGGATAATTCTAATCATATTGTCTAATGTTAATCTTATTGGGCTAATTTTAATTTTATAAGTATTGCAATCAATTAATGGACATTTTAAACATACTAATTATGTAACTTGTACAATTAAATAGTATTCCTAATGACTAATTATAGCATAATACAATATTATAATTTACAAACTTGCCCTGAGAGTTGTCCGCTTTTCGCCGCTCGTCGTCACAAACAGCTTTGTTAGGGTAGTCACACGTTTCAATTATTGGGTTCCAATGAAGCCCGGGTCTGCAATTACGGCTCCACATACGGCTATCATAGCACTCGTAATACGTGTTGCAATCGTTTGGATTTGCGAATAAACCATTCTCTGTTAAAATATATAATAATAATAATTTGTTTATTAATTAAGGTAATTTTTATTTTTGTTAAAGTTTTAATATGTATTCTATCATACCTTTGCAGATGAACGCTAAATAAGTTGTTGTTTGGGTTATAAAAAATAAAAATATTATAAATCTATTTTTCATTGTTGTATATTAGATGTTTACAACTGTAATTAAAATTAAAATTGCATGTCAATTTATACTTATTTTTTGCAAACGCCCTTCAGAATTTTCAAGTTTAATATAAATACACATGTATTTGTGTTATATGGCCTTATATACATTGTATATTTTGCAATGCTTGAAACAGATAATTAATGATTATAACATAATATTAATATTATGAAGTTTAATTAATAGACATTTATACTGTTGAAGGCACTATAATCTCGGGTTAATTAAATTAAATATTATGAAAACCGCATAAGTAGTAGACTTTATGGATCTATTACAGAGCCTTCAGTCTATATATTTAATGGTGTATCCATGTTATTTATACTTTTAGAGAATGATCACCGTTTATTCCGAAAATACAAGGATAATTGCAACAAAACAATTTATAGATAATATACATTGTTTATATGTTAAGTTTAATCCATATTGATTTTAATAAAATAACATTTTAATTTTTAACCACTATTCAGATATGAATAATGTGGTTTATAAGATCGTTCGGTTCCCTCCCCTCCCCCGCTCTATGGGATTTAAGATGGGATTACAGTTTAAGTCTATGGCTATTCTTTAACATAGGGAAGCTCTCATAGGTTTAACATAAGTTTCTATGGGATTACAAATTAAGTCTATGGCATAGGGATAACATGGGTAATGCTAAGTCTATGGCATTGGAATAACATGGGTAATGCTAAGTCTATGGGACTAATGCTTATCCTATGGACAATACTAATCCTATGCATCACCCGAATCGTGGTTAACATATAGCATCGCTGTTTGATTTTGTTTAATAAGTGGTTGGATAATAGTGATTGAAACATAAATTTTTAGTGCCGGTGTCAAACCGGTGCCGCTTAAATTCACGGCATATAGTGCCGATGCCGCTTGAGTTCCGTTAGTGCCGGTCCTGATAGAGCCTGTGCACATTGGGCATGTCTGTTATTTGTTATTAGTTGTACAGATATAAAACATGCAATTTCGCTGTATTAATATATACATTTTAAATAACAGCACATTTAAATAAAATAAATTGATTTTTGATTAAATTTTAGATATGATGCTAAAAAGTACTAAACCAAACGGTGCCGGTTCAGTGCCGGTACAGTCAGAACTTGCGCTGGTGCCGTGCCAGTGCCGCGGCACCGGCAACACGGCATTAAGTATGAGTCAATCAGTAAGTGGAAAATATTAATCTAACCACAAAATATAAAGTTTTAGCCATATTTAGCCATAAATACGTAAACAACTCACACATAGCGATACTATACGTTAACCACGATTCGGGTAATGCTCAAAGAATAGATTAGCAATATATATACATTTAATAAGAGTCCATAGGATTAGCATTAGTACCCATGAAAACCATAGATTAAGCATTAGTCCCATAAATTTGACATTTTCCCTATGATATGCATTGCAATAGATTTAACATTTTTCCATTGACTTAACATTAGTCCCATAGAGTTATCATTGCCCATAGATTTATTATTGCCATAGGATTAGCATTACCCATGTTATCCCTATGCCATAGACATAAGCTATAATCCCATAGAAACCAATGTTAAAGCATTCTTTCATAGACTTTATATACATTATTCCCATAGGATTAACCTGGCGAAAAACTACCCGTTCGCTTCATATTTCGCTTTTCAATATGAAATAGTTCTCCCATAAAATTAACATTACCCATAGGATAACATTAGCCCATGTTAAGTCTATGGGAAAAGCTCCATAAGATTAGCATTACCTCTGGTAAGTCTGTCATAAAATTAACATGCAAACCCATGTTAAATCGCATAAAGTGAGAAGCCGGGAGGAGGAGGGGGTTTCTTAAACCACATTCTTCATATATAAATCATGGTTAAAAATTCTATATTATAATTAACGATATTTTGTGTTCAGATTAATATTTTTCTATGAATGGCTATGAATAATGGGGTTCATAAGAGCGTTCGGCCCCCTCCCCTCCTCCACCTAATAAGAATTAACATAGGATTACAGCTTAAGTCTATGGGTAAAGTACATGGGTAATGTTAAGTCTATGGCATAAGGATAACATGAGTGATGCTAAATTGATGGGTAATGATAAGTCTATGATATAGGGATTACATGGGTAATGCTAAGTCTATGACATAGGGATAACATGGCTAATGCTAATCCTATGGACAATGATAACTCTATGAGACTAATGTTAAGTCTATGGACAATCCTAAATCTATGGGTGTGCTAATCCTATGGACTCTTATTATATGTGTAGATAATGCAAATCTATTCCTTGAGTATCACCCGAATTGTGGTTAACGTATAGCATCGCTGTGTGTGTAATACCCCAATTGTGGTTAACGTATAACATTGCTGTGTGTGAGTAATACCCCAATTGTGGTTAAGGTTTAGCATTGCTGTGTGTGAGTTGTTTAAAACTTTTTTTGTGATAACATAATCAACATTTATATATCAAAATCTAATTTATCCCTCCCATAAGATAACAATCAAAAATAGGTCATTTTCATTAATTTAGTTGCATAAAAACTTGCAATGCAATCACGATGATTCTAAGCTTGTGTAACGTTTTATCGTTTAAAATGAAATAATATAGTTTTAATTTATATTTTGCCACACTTTACTAATATTTAAATAGGTTTGGAATGCTAAACAAACAACCATTTTCATCATAACATTTTGCTAAATTGCTTATAAAATATGATAATATTTATATAATATATTTAAAAATTTATAAATGCATATTTGACCACTTTATAGTGCATATTATATGACATATTTGACTTCTTATAAATGTATATATTTCCATGCTTTAGTGATTAGATATAATAAATAAAAGTACACAAAACCATATACTATATAAATTAAAAAGATTATTCATTTTATTTTTACTACAAATAAATAAAAATATTTTCAAAAATTGGATAAATTGACTGACGGCAAATTGAAAAACAACATATTTTAATATTTGAACAAATTTATTCTCAATTGCAATTTTAAAACAAGATCATTTTAATTAAAATGTTTAAATGAAAAAATACAGTTATTGATAAACAAAGATTACAATGCAATAATATGT